CTTTGCCTCACTTAGTCTTGGAAATTTCTGACGCAGGTATTGAAATGCTGACCCATTTCTATCTAATGCCTTGACAAAGTTTTTCATTAGGCCCAACTTGATATGCAGTGGTCGTAATAAAAATTTTTTCGAATCTACTAATGGCATATGCTGTACATTTTTTTGACCTGGCTCTAGGAATTGACGAACAGGCCAGTTTTGTCTGGTGTAATGAAGTGCCTTTGCCCGACTGTCCCATTCACACAAAAAACAGCAAAACTTTGTGTAGCCTAGCTGCAGCCCAAGTAAAAGCGCAACAACTTTCAAATCGCCACAAATATGCCATTGGTGCTCATCGTATTTTATGCATGTCAATAGGTACGTCACATTGTCATATGATTCTTTCATGTGAACTGCATACCCTACAGGAAGATATGGTAAAATATTTCCAATATGCAATAACACTGTCTTTAAACTCAATGTTGAACTGTCTATAAACAATCTCCATTCTTCTGCGTTATAGTTTATATTTAAAGTCGCCAGTAAGCCGTTAATGTTACTGCAGAAAACCAAGTTATTCTCCATATTGAAAAATGGTTCTAAGTCTTTGTGGCGTTTATGAAAAACACATACCGAAACATCGTCTTCTAACAAGTTCCACTGCTGCAGTCTTGATTCGTTTTCTGATTCGCAAGTGTAGGATTCTGGGGGTTTTGGAATAGGATTTTCGTCACTGTGAGGCACAGGTCTCATCGCAGATGGTATGTTTGGGTAGTTAATAACCGATTTTTTTTCTTGGACATACCTGTGGCTTGTCCAACACAAGGTACCATGCAAAAGTAACAACCATTAATATGATTTGTAGGCTCTCTCCGAACCATTGGGACATCAAAGCGCATAGACCGTTTATTGCCATTTAACCAGCTCCTCAGACTTGAAGCACATGTATTACAGCAGATGTGGGGTGCCCACTGTTTGTCTTGATCACCTAGTTTACAACCGAAATAAAGCTGATATGCCTTTGTTATTAGTGGAGTAATAGACCGTCTCTGAGACGCAAAAGTCACATCACCACACACGTAACAAAACTGATCTGGATTGTTTACACACTTCCGAGACATCTTGCATGAACGCTGTCAGCCAACTGAGGAAAAAATGGCTAAGCTAATATAAAACAATATAATGTACACGTATGTATAACTTAACACAATTATGCCGATTACATCATCTTTCCTTGCCGAATATAAAAATGTAGCACGTGCATTCTTGTGAATTACAGTATATTAACACTGTCACAGCAGGAACACATATAATTACCGTATCTCTAAAACTTGAACTAATATTGAAAAAAGCACATTAACAATAGTAATATTTTGTTGATTTTATTTAGGATATTTTTTGGCTGTTGATCAGTGTAATATATAGTAGAAAACACCAACTTAATCACTTCCTAATCAAATTTGCAGCATAAAAATAACACATGTTGCAATTACAGCATATCAACCTATTTTCATTTCAATGCAAAATAAGTCTATAACGCATAGGTGGCTGTGAAAAATAAAAGCCATGACAATTGTTTTTACTAATCACAGCAGGTTATTAGTGAGAAAATTCGGTTACTGATAATTAAATGTCAAACTCAGAAATTGCAACTTTGTTAGACTTATCACGGTACAGTGTGAGAAATATTGTTAGAAGATAAAGCGTAACTGGTTCAGTTAATATTAAGCCACGATATGTGAAAAAAGTAATATCACAAATGCCGACCGAAGAGCATTAAGAAGAATAATTGTGAAAAACAGGCGTGCCAATTATTTACAATTAAGTGCTCGGTGGTGTGACGCTGTCGGAAGGAGAATTTCGAGGTCCACAACTCATAGAGAGGCCCACAAACTGGGATTTAGCACTTGCAATGTAAGTTTTCTTATAAAAAGAGTGAAGTAAGAACCCTAAAGTTGCACAACTTGTTTATAGGCCAAAGAAAAGCCACTATTAACTCCACAGCGAAAGGAAAATCGGCTTAGATGGGCTAAAGAACATAGACAATCCTCAACAATGGAGTGATGATTCCAGATTCGAAGTTTGCGTTGGTGGCACTCGCAGTAGAGTTATTCGCAAAAAAAATGATGCATTCTATGTTGACTGTCTGAAGAGAAAAGTGAAATTTCCAGCATCCATTATGGTCTGGGGCAGTACGACATCAAAGGGAGTAGAAAAACTTCATTTTATTGATGGAAATGTGGATACAAACAAATATTTGGCAATTTTAGAAGAATCGCTTTTACCAGTAATGGAAGAATGTTCGACATCCGGCCAAGATTTTGTGTTTCAGCAAGATGGTGCAGCGTGCCATACCTCAACAAAGGCTATAAAATGGATGAAGAAAATAATGTACCACTTTTGAAATGGGTTTCTAGCAGTTCAGATCGGTCACAACAGCATCCTTCTCGTACAATCACCGAACTGAGACAAAAGCTTCAAGAAATATGGGATTGTTTTACACCAAATTTTTGCCAAAACTTGGTTAACACTATGCCCCAAAGAATTTCAGCCGTAATAAAAAATAAAGGTGATGTTACCCAATGGTAATCTTTCAATTATTGCTTTGTTAACATCGCGCATTTATTCGCACATTGTTTATTTGTTCAGATGTTCTATTAGTTATAGGTCTGAGTGATTTCAAATAAGTATTTTTTACGACTAGAGTGTATCTATAACAGTTTTACTTTTAACCCAAAAATAAAGCCACATTATTATTTATTATAGACCTTCCTCGACGCTTGAGACTTCCTTGCAAATAACAGATCTGTCTATGGAAACAGTGAACCAATAATACTTCCTTGAGGAGCGTTCACGGGATGATTTAAATGTTCATTTCACAGTAGACAGAAAGATTTAAACATAGCAATATGTCGTTTTTGTGGACTAACAAATTACCGATTGAATAAAGTCGTGTCTATGCAGAATCGGAGTCTCACCACTGCATATACTCTTATCGGTAATAAGGGACTGTCTGTTTTTTTTTACAAACATTCCTTTTGAACATCCGTGACACAAGACGAATACATGACATTTTTTGTGAAGGTCATTGGCACTGCCGGAGGATACAGGACATGAACTTTTTTCCGGAAGTGACTTTACTTTTTGGAGTCTGTATACCTTGGAAGTGCCCTTCGGCGACTTAGCGTCACCCTGATAAATAAATCTGTAGCCTTCCAGGCGACACGGTCCGACTTCAGATTAGGGGAAGTTATTTTTTCCTTGTCGAAGTCTAGTAGAAGGGTAGAACGTAATGGAGAAATCGGATTCCAGTGTCGACAAGCTCATCACCATAAGCAACAGAAATTAAAAATATGTCACTTTCGCTTTAGATAATCGTTTAGTTCTTTATTAACCGCTTAGATGTACAGCAACGTATGTCCTGAAAGTTTTGGCTTTAATTTTAACAAACCCAAAATGATATCAAGTGGCCTTTGGAAACAAAAGTCAAAATTCAAAAATGACATATTACCAGAAAAACCATGTCACTCATTACCGTCGATCTATACTAAGTGACATATAAATCCGAACACCCAGTTTAAATGTTTTTATTTTAATAAAATTTTGTATAAGTACTTAATGAAGCATAATAAGTAAATGATAAAAATTTCAAAATGATTGCACTGCTTTAAAGCCGCCTGACCTTTAATAATGTGTGGATGCACCCTGATATGCTACGCATTCTCCAACGCGCCTAGGCATGCTTCTGCTCAGGTGGTCAATGTCCTCCTGTGGTATCTCATTCCAGGCAACCACCAACTCCTCTCGAAGTGCTTCTAGAGTCTGAGGAGGACGTTGCAAATTGAGCAATCTCCTACCCATCATATCCCACACGCGCTCAATTGGGAGATCTTGGTGGCCATGGTAACAATGTGACATCATTATGTCGAAAGAAGTCTATTTTGTGACTCTTGCAACATGTGGTCGGGCATTATCTTGTTCGAAAGTTGGATCTGCCAGGATGTCAAGATAGGGTAAAATATGGGGTTCTAGAACTTCGTGGATATAACGCTGCGCGTTCATGTTACCTCTGATGAAGATTAAAGGTGACCTGGAACCATAAGCTATAGCACCCCAAACCATAACTCCAACAGTGTGATGAACATGTCTTTCAACAAGAAACTGTGGATTCCTCCTTTCACCACGTCGCCTTCTAACCCTGGCACGACCATCGTGCATGCCTAAACAAAATCGAGACTCGTCCCTAAAGAGAATACTGTTCCATTCCTGATCCCAGAGTGACCGTTGTGACCACTCAAGGCTATTACGTCGGTGTTCTCGAGTTAAAGGGAGGACCCAGTGTGGCCGGTATGAAAACAAGCCAAAACTTCTCATTCGTCGGTAAACACTTCGCATGCCAATAGGTCTTCCCTGTTCTGCAAACCATTCATTTGCAATGGACCTGGTAGTGGAGAAACGGTCCCTTAAGGCCAATAATCTTAGGCGGCGATCTTCACGGTCTGTTGTTCTACGGCGGCGTCCAGTGCCCCTTGCTCTTTGCGTACGGCCTTCTCGAAGCCATGCCTGACAACACCTAATCACAGTGTCTACACTTCTTTGCACTCTAACTGCAATTGACCGAAAAGAAAGTCCAGCTTCCCGAAGTCCCACTATGCGGCCCCTATCAAACTCACTAAGTTGACGAAATCGTACAGGTCTCCGTACTCTAGGCATCGTAACCGATCGTAAAGGATGTCAAGAACCAAAATCCGCCAACGTTGATTCTTTACTGCGGCTGAAATATTCATTTTTAGAGCGTTAGTGAATTAAAAAAAAGCAGTATAAAAACCGGAATGTCCAACTGATAAGGCTGAAAATTTTTTCACTTGTTATTTACAGTAAGATAAATACATTCACCAACTTTTATTAAATAAAACCATTTAAACTGGGTGTTCGGATTTATATGTCACTTAGTATATCTGTCGATTTGTCGGTCTGCCATTTTTTAGGAAAAGTTTTATGAGTATGTTTCTTTGTTACAGGTGTATAGACAATCCTTCACAGCCCACTACACTATTTATGACGTCAGCAAAGAGTAAGTGTCATTTAATATTTCAATTAAAGTAGTTTTTCTTTGAGGGCACCCTCAAAAAAACAGATAACCAAAGTTGATAATACAAAATATAAGTGCTATAGTTACTGTTCGATAAGAAATCCTCTTTGCACATTAGATATACATATTTTAATTCTATTATTAGTATTTCTAGTAAAAATACGCAAAACGTTTATAAGAATGTCGTTGAACAAATCATGGAGGAAGTACTTAGAAAACTCGTTGGTGTCGCACCAAATTTGTCAATAACAACACAGCCCAACAGTTAATTTGTTGCAGGACAAGGAAGAACTGAGTTTGAGTATTTTTAACGCACACATATCATTTTTTCTTTGTGTTAGCTCTAGATTTCGAGATAGAATCAATTTAAATGTATTTCAAATATCCATCATTGTTATTTTAAACCTTTGTCTTTGAATTGATTGATTCAAAATGTCACGGATAGCTATTAAATGGAGAATGAGGTTACATCTATCACCATCACCAACATTGAATGCAGAAATGTATGCCCATCCACCATTTAATAAACATCATTGACGTGATAGGTCAATGATGCGCAAGAAAAGATTTAAAATAATCCCTAAAATGCTTTTTCAATGGATGTTTGGAGGCTATTTGAAAAGTTTGGCAGCATTGACGTTTTCGTTGTGTTTCGGTGTCGAAGGTCGTATATTTTGCACTAGTGTATATAATTGTATACTTGTAATGTCACGTATTCCTGTTAAGGGATGATAGATTAGGTCAAAAGCAACCGATTTTGTCCTATCATGTCTTATCCAAAAGTTAAACATTTTTGAGTTATTTGAATTTTAAGTTTTTTATCTTTTATTCCGATTTCAAACGGTTAAAATTAAAATACAAAAAAACTGCATGCTTGGTTTGAGTTTTTTGTTATCGTCGCATAGCAGACATTCCAATAGTTCTTAATAAGTAATAAAATGTTGAAAAGATACAAACGTTTTAATATTACGCTTTTTAAATGTATCATTTTCTTTTTTTACTAACTTATTCGATAAAGAATGCAATTTTCTGTAAAAAATCTCCTAGGAATGAAATGTGCAAATTATGTAAATATATGTAATATCTCTATCTAACAAGCTTTCATTTGAGGTATTAAGTTCAATTATCTGAAGTACATGCAGAGAAACAACAATGACACCCACAGAGGCTGGATTATTAAGGAACTTGTATTACCTGTTTGAACAAGTAGTTACTGTCCTCAAAGGACTCGCATGCCATGATTGTTTTATGGCATCGGCTCGACGAGGAAGCGAGCGAGAAGAGCTGCCTTAGTGGAGAAGTGAGAGAGAGAGAGAGAGCTGTTATTATTCATCATTGTAGTTACGCCATCGCCGCACGCCGAGTGAGAATTTGGTTTAGTTGGTATCAACTACTGCGTACGCGCACACGTTTTACGCACGATTATTATTTTCGAGTTTCCCGGTTCATTTCGAGTGGTTTCTTTATCATCATGGCAGACGCAGAAGATCCGCCAGGACCTCGCCATAGCGAGCACGAGCAAACTTTTACAAATGAAGAATACGCAGACATAATGTTCTGTTATGGACTTTGTAACGGCGATTCTGCAGCTGCCCGCCATGAATATCGGCAACGTTTCCTGAATCGCCGAACACCTCATGTTACTGTGTTTGACTCTGTGTATCGGCGCATTCGCCAAACCGGACGTGTTCAAAGGCAACATAGTGATGCTGGTCGACCCCCAGTCTATCCTCCTGAAGATGAAGAGGAAATCCTTCGTGTGTTTCAGGAAGACCCTACTACGTCTACGCGCATTGTGGCTGCTCAGTTGGGTATATCACACTACAAAGTATGGTTTACTGTGCATACTGCAAGATTATACCATTATCACTACACACCTGTGCATGTGATTGAAGAGGGCGATCCTACAAGACGATTAGATTTCTGCAGGTACATGTTACATGCAGATACAGAAGATCCAGACTATTTTAAGAAAATTCTGTGGACCGACGAATCGAACCACTACCTAACTACCATAATGCTCATTACTGGGCTGATAAAGAAGCTTTAAACCCCCGAAAAGTAAGACCGACGGGGTCTCAGAGCCGGTTTTCAGTCAATGTGTGGATGGGCATCATTGATGAATATTTAATTGGACCTCATTTTCTGCCCGCCAATTTAAATGGAGAAGTGTATGAAGAGTTCTTGAAAAATCACTTGTTTCCATTAATGGAAGACGTCCCATTCGCGACGAGACAAAATATGCGGTTCCAGCACGACGGCTGTCCCGCACACTACAGTAGATTAGTACGGGCGTATTTAGACTCTAAATTTACAAATCAATGGATTGGCAGAGGCGGGCCCATTGCCTGGCCAGCAAGAAGCCCAGATCTCACACCGATGGATTACTATGTGCGGGGACATATGAAAAGCCTGGTGTACGATGTTTCCCTGTACCAACGCGCGATGAATCAGTTACAAGGATAATCAGTGCCGCTGACCAAATAAAAAGCAGCTTAACAACTAGAGTTACCAAAAGTGAATTACCTAAGAGAATGCGGGCGTGTATTCGTAACGGAATTACAATTTGAGCAGAATCTGTAAAATACTAAAGGAAATGTAATTAAATAAAACTGTAATTAAAATGAAAACCTTTTATTTATCCTACGTAAATTATCGTTCGTACAACTTTACTCATCTTTTTTTAATTGTATGTCTTTGTAATTGAGTTAGTTGTAACTTTTATACCTCAAATGAAAGCTTGTTAGATAGAGATACTATTTACATAATTTGCACATTTCATTACTAGGAGATTTTTTACAGAAAATTGCATTTTTTATCGAATAAAATAGTAAAAAAATTAGAAAATCATACATTTCAAAAGCGTAATTTTAAAACTTTTGTAAGTTTTCAACATTTTATTACTTATTATGAACTACTGGAATGTCCGCTATGCGACGATAACAAAAAACTCAAAATCAAACATGTATTTTTTTGTATTTCTAATTTCGCCATAAAAAATAAAAAAAATAAAATACATATAACTCAAAAACGGTTAACTTCTGGATAGGACATTATAGGACAAAATCGGTTGCTTTTGACCTAGTCTATCACCCCTTAACAGGAATACGTGACATTACAAGTCACCCTGTATAGTCACCGTTCTTGGCGTTTACGTCATCAACGCCATATGAAATAAGTAAACAGATCAAGTCTCCATACCATGGGCGGAACTAATCTTCAGCGCATTTGCTACTCTCTCCAGTACGCATCAAGTGGATAACAGCGGACCGCTGTTTTGATTCTCTTCCTGGAAATACTCTAATAAATTTAACACGAGCTGTCGGCCTTCTCCATTGATCGTATTTCCGGGCATTTTCCATATTATATATTGATGATTGATAAAAGGACAACCCGAATCAATCGCCTTGAGTGGTGCAGACAACAGTCACTCTGGGATCAGGAATGGAACAGTATCGTCTTTAGTGACGAGTCTCGATTTTGTTTAGGCATGCACGATGGTCGTGCCAGGGTTAGAAGGCGACGTGGTGAAAGGAGGAATCCACAGTTTTTTGTTGAAAGACATGTTCATCACACTGTTGGAGTTATGGTTTGGGGTGCTGTAGCTTATGGTTCCAGGTTCACCTTTAATCTTCATCAGAGGTAACATGAACGCGCAGCGTTATATCCACGAAGTTCTAGAACCGCATCTTTTACCCTATCATGACACCCTGGCAGATCCAACTTTCCAACAAGATAATGCCCGACCACATGTTGCAAGAGTCACAATAGACTTCTTTCAACATAATGATGTCACATTGTTACCATGGCCACCAAGATCTCCCGACTTATCCCCAATTGAGCACGTGTGGGATATGATGGGTAGGAGATTGCTCAATTTGCAACGTTCTCCTCAGACTCTAGAAGCACTTCGAGAGGAGTTAGTGGTTGCCTGGAATGAGATACCACAGGAGGACATTGACCACCTGATCAGAAGCATGCCTAGGCGCGCTGGAGAATGCGTAGCACATCAGGGTGCATCCACACATTATTAACGGTCAAAGGGCTTTAAAGCAGTGCAATCATTTTGAAATTTTTATCATTTACTTATTATGCTTCATTAAGTACTTATACAAAATTTTATTAAAATAAAACCATTTAAACTGGGTGTTCGGATTTATATGTCACTTAGTATATGAAGGTAGTCTTACTTTGACACGCAAAGAACGGTGACTACAACTATACCTCGAAAACTAGAGCTGCTGCGGAAAACATGAAAAGCATTTTCGAAATCCTCATGTCAGATATATCTAAAAACAGTTGTTACTTCTTCGACACCAACAATTTTATTCATTTTCTTAGGCTGCGGAACCATTGCTGCCTTAGGCTTGCGCCCATAAAAGTGCTTTGCAATCGCTATCTATTTACTGTTCTGCTCTTTATAGCCTGTCATTAACGCTAAATAATTAATATTTTCCAGCCACTATACGCCAGTAGAAATTCGCCAAAAGAATTTTCTGCAGGCATCAGTTGCAAATTGGACAAGGTTAACAGCTTTTCCCGTTTTTGTGAAATGCGAATTTCTCCCTGACACTTTAAAACTACTTAACTAAGTACAAATTACTACCCTCTCTGGTTTTATGCAAAAACACGCTTGTAGGTTTTGCTCTGCAAGTATTTAACATCTTTTTACTTACCTATGTATATTTGTCCATCTAACAGCACGTATTCTGTATATTTGCCTGTTTGACCACTCCACGTTATACATTTTGGTGACATAACTTTATAATGTTGACAAGTGGGTGTAACAGTATGACTGTCTTAAGAGATCTAACAGACGAATATTGTAGACCAAAGTTGTAAGATTTAACAAAAATCATCTAATGGTGACCTTGACTATGGCCTTCAAGGTCATTTGAAGGGTATCACAGTTTTCTTACATGGGATACACTATTCTTGACAACGTAAATACAGAGTTCGAATTTTTACTTCCAAGTGCATCTCTCCCTTTGGCCTTGACTATGACCATCAAGGTCGTTTTAGGGCGTCCAAAATGTATGAAAAAAATACACTGAAAAATACCATACCTAGCGAAAAATGTTGCAAAGCAGTACTGCATGGTTTAAAAACGGTCATCTGAAGGTGACCTTGAACGTGACCTTGACCACGACCTCAAAGGTTTTACGATGATCCAGGGTTTAGCGAGACGTGAAATTGCTGTTCTGGATATATCCGGGTGAAAAAATCCTTCGACCTTCAAGTGTCCTTGAATTACATGGTCAAGGTGACTGTAAAATATCTTGCTTTAGTTGGACCATACCGAACATCCAAATAATGTGGAAATCAGGATATCTCGGAAACTACAATTCTTAAAGAAGAATATTGTGAAACAAAGTTGTAAGGTTTGAAAAAGTAATCTAATGATGATCTTGAACATGATCTTGCCTATGACCATCAAGGACATTTGAAGTTCATAATTTTTTTTAATGGAAACCCTAATTTTATACAGCAAACATGCAAGGAATAGGAGTCTAAGTGCGTCTAAGTGAGTTCCTCACTTTGACCTTGAATATGACCGTCAAGGTCATTTTAGGGCGACCAACATGTATGGAAAGAATACCCTGAAAAATATGATACCTTGAGAAAAATACGAACGTGGCCTTGACCACGACCTTGAAGGTTTTACGATGATCCAGGGTTTGGCGAGACGTGAAATTGCTGTTCTGGAAGTATCCGGTTGAAAAACTCCTTTGACCTTCAAGTGACCTTGAATTACATGGTCAAGGTGACTGTAAAATATCTTACTTTAGTTGCACCATACATGACGTCCAAAAAATGTAAAAAGATCTCGAAAAGTACGTTTCCTAAAGAAAAATATTCTGGAACAATGTTCTGAGATTAGAAAAAAGTCACCTAATAGTGATCTTGAACGTGACCTTGCCTATGACCATCAAGGACATTTAAAGATCATAATTTTTTTTAATGGAAACCCTAATTTTATACAGCTAACATGCAAGGAGTGGGAGTTTGTGCATCTAAGTTAGTCCCTTTCTTTGACCTTGAGTATGACCATCAAGGTCATTTAAAGGCGTCCAAAATGTATGGGAAGAATAGCTAGAAAAATATACTACCTAGAGAAAATGTTGCAAAGCAAATTAGAGAGGTCTAAAGACGGTCATCTGAAGGTGACCTTGATCGTGACATTGACCACGACCTTAAAGGTTTTACGATGACTCAAGGCTTAGCGGGACGTGAAATTGCTGTTCTGTTTGAAAAATTCTTTTGACCTTCAAGTGACGATGAATCACATGATCAAGGTAACTCTAAAATATGTTTCTTTAGTTGGACCATACATGGCGTCCAAAAATTGTGGGCATCAAAATATCTCGAAAAGTACGTTTCCTAAAGAAACATATTGTGGGACAAAGTAGTAGGATTTGAAAAAGTCACCTAATGTTGATTTTGAACGTGACCTTGCCTATGAATATCAAGGACATCTGAAGATCATCATTTTTTTTTAAGAAAACCCTGATTTTATACAGCAAACATGCTAGGAGTGGGAGTTTGTGCATCTAAGTGAGTCCTTCTCTTTGAAATTGAGTATGACCATCAAGGTCATTTAAAGGCGTCCAAAATGTGTGTCAAAACTAGCTAGAAAAATATGTAGAGAAAATGTTGCAAAGCAAATTTGAGAGGTTCAAAAACGGTCATCTAAAGGTGACCTTGAACGAGACCTTGACCACGACTTTGAAGCTTTTACCACGATCCAGGAATTAGCGAGACGTGAGATTGCTATTAGAAAAGTATTCCGTTAATAAATTCCTTTGACCTTCAAGTGATCTTGAATTACATGGTCAAGGTTGCTGTAAAATGTCTTACCTTTTCCCCAGGTGTTCACTTAAAGATCTATCTGACCCTAAAGTGAATCTGATGGTCATTGGCAATTAAAATTAGATTCTGCTCGGTATAAATTAACCTTGAAATGACCTTGATGGTCAAAGTCAAGGTTATATACATACTTGAACATAAGGTTGTGTCTTCTATACATCTCCGTGTTCAAAAATAGTTTTACATTTTGGACTGTATTGACTTTAAAATGACCTGGAGGTCATAGACAAGATCGTGTCATCATTTTAAACCTTATAAAATTCCTCTGATAAACGTGTTTTTTCTAGTTTTTTCAGTTTGTAGACTAAGCAATATATGACAGTACACTCTGGAATCCGTCTTCACCGGTAAAAGGCAAATGACTGACCGACAGACAAAAATACTGTGTTTTTGGTGAAATGTAGACCACAAAACATCATACGAATTGATTTTTTACATGAACTGTTTGACGTAGGAAGTCGAAATTACGTTAATGGTGAAAGTGTTTGTAAAATAAGAGTCTTTTGTTGTGAATTTGCGATTTCGTCACTAGATGAATCTATAGACATCTTAATGATAACAAATCGTTGTTATGCGTGCCGAAGAATATTAAAGACGAACCCATGGATATTCATTTGCATCTGCGAATAAAATAATTCATGTTGGAAGGCCATACGTCGTCTGGGTCCAGCCATGTTTGGGATTCTTTCGTTTACGTTTATATCCTTGCCAGTGGTTATATTTGGACTAGGTAAAAATAGTATTTAGGATATTTATAAAGATGCGTTTTATCAGTCTAACGTGTATATCAGCGCATTTCTCTGAGGATTTAAGTCATCGAAATGGATATACAGGGTGATTCACAAGTCGTGACCATAGATGAAACATCTCAAGGGGGGTCTTCTATGTAAACAATTTTTTTTAATATCCTCAAAACCGTGAACTGGAAGGAACTAAATTTTTGTAATGAAGTTTCATGTGATTTTCTATTGTTAAAAAACATACGGCAATTGCTTTAATTTCTAGATATGATGAAAGTGTGGGCTTTTCAATACTACGTGCATCTACGATTTTTCATATCACTCGTAACCAGTGTTGCCATACGTAGCGGAATTCCGCTATTTGTAGCGGATTATTTTGAGAAGAGCGGCGTAGCGGCGGTAGAGCAAATTAGCCCAAAATGTAGCGGAATTTATTACATACAAAACTATCATATTTATTTTACTGTTTTGACGTTAATAACGTTCTAAATCCTAAATAGGCAGTGGTAAGAGTCTGATTTATTATCACATTAATAATAAAATTGGTGCCGCTTGAGCCATCTAGGAACAAAGAAGAGAATTATTCCACTTGCCTTATTTTTTCAATAACAGATGGCGTACGTACTGCTTTCAATTTTCAATACTAATCGTTTCTAACAGATCTCAGCAGGCAGACATAATATTAGGTTTCTCGCTTTGTATTGTATTTTTCAGCTCTGGGTTTATACTGTTTAGTTTCGTTTATATTAGTGTTCTTATTTTTGTGTTGATCATTTTATTGATATATCATTTGCTGCAGATTTTAATATTAAATCTACTGGTAAGTAACAAAACTGCTTAAATATCGAACATATTATAGTTTGATCCAGAAATAAATCTTAGTCGCGAAATTTGTTTTTAACGCTTTTTCTTCTGGAAAATAGGAATAATGGAAAGGCGACAGCAGACCATTAACGATTTTTTTGATAAAAATCCTTCTAAAAAACAAACGGTGAAACCAAACGTGGCCGTACCATCCACTTCGACTGCATCTGTGTCGGACTCGGAGCATTCCGAACCTGAATACAGACAAAATAGAAGAGCGGAATCTAGTGGAATCAGGTCTGAGCCTGATAATTCGACTTGGGAATCTCAGGATAACCAAGAGCCAGAACAACCTGTTAAGAAAAAGACCTACGAAAACAAATGTTTACTTCATTATGGCTAGAAGATCCGTTATTTGAAGGCTGGTTGGGACCTATTGAAAATGACAAGTTGAAAGCAAAATGTAAAGCTTGTAATCAAATAATGGGTGCTAAAAAATCCGATTTGGTGAATCATTCGAAACCAAAAAGGCATGCCACTAATGTACAAGCAATTTCGAATGTAAGAACGTTAGATAACACTTTTCAGTCTCGGGAAGCACGTGAGTTGGAAAAACGGCAAATATTTGCTTGCTTAAGATATATTCTTTTAGTTGTAAGTCATTATATAAGTTTTAGAACTGTTGATCATATAACAGGAGTTAGTCAATTATGTTTTAAAGACCCAGATCTCTTTAGCTCACTTAAATTAAAAAGATCCAAATGCATAAGTATAACTAAAAATGTGCTGGCTCCTGTTATTAAAGACGAAATTACTTCAGAATTGGAAAATAAACCATTTTCTATTTTATTTGATGAGAGTACAGACCTGAGCAATACAAGACTACTATGCATTCTTGTAAGGTATATTAATAAAAATTCAATTAAAACCCATTTATTAGATATAATTAAAATAAACGCAGATGAAGGTACCGCCAAAGGTTTATATTCTCTTTTTAAAAAATACGTTATATCCAATCAAGTAAAAATTACCAATATTGTTGGATACTGTTCCGACAACGCTAGTGTTATGATGGGCAATAACGAATCTTTCAAAACGTATCTTTTAAAAGATA